ATGGAAAAAACTACAACTAAGGTGTCTTCTATAGTTCCATCTTGATTGGCTGCCATTGAAGGTCCCACTGAACAGAAGTAATTTAGAAAGACTTCTTTCTTGAAGGTGTCGTGGTACCTGCCGTCCCCTTCCCTTTCACCACTGGCATCTGAAGGTCTTCAAGCTGTCAACAACTGATTGTTTTATTAACATAACATAGTATTAGCAACTCATACCAGGCATATATGTTTCTTTAAATAAAAGGTTCTGTGGATTTGATAAATTCTAATCAGTCTAACTCAGCCTTAACTTCTTAAGGGTCATCTAGCTGTTATGTTGAATCAATTCATTGTCTGAGATTTCTCTTCCTGCTGAAGCTTTAATAGCTGGTGTTCTGATTCCTTTTTTTTTTCTGTGCAGAACAAGAAGAGGAACTAAAGTCGATACATGATAAATTCAAACAAGATATTTATCAGCATCTCCAGGAGTGTAAAACCACGCTTGAAGGACTAGAATTGCACCAGATTGACTTCAACGGAACTGTGAAAAAGCGAAGTATGTGAGCCAATGTTATAGCTAGTAAATTTTTTAATAAATACATTTTTGAAATGTGTTTGATTGATTTCATATTATTCCTAATTTTTATTAAAACCTTTTAACTTCAGTTACACATACAAGCATGTGAGTTTGAACGCCATGATGCTTGTGGTGGATCTGTGATAATTGAAGTTTCAAGTTGATCAACAACTTCCAAACATTTTTAACTGGCTTCTTTATATTAAAAAGTTTTCTATTTTTAATTGGTTACTTGTTTATCCAACGTAAATTACTTTTTGACCTGCAAAGTTTTCATTTGATGTAAATGAATTGGGATAGCAACATGTCAGGGCAATTATATGGTTGAAGATTAATTGCAGTCATATGCTCCGTCTCTTTAGTGCTTTGGACCTCCACAGGAATGTAAATAGGTGCCTACATTATTTATTTATCATTTTTCATCAATAAAGTTACTTCATCTGCAATGCTTTTATTTATTGTGATGGTATGACTTAAGTTTTGACACAACATGGAAGTATCTAAATGCCATTGGCTTGATCTAGGGCATCCTAGATACACTAATGAGTCACAGACTGGTCACAACAGAAACAGAGTTGAATGGAGATGTACCGTGTGGAAACTCTGAAATACCCTAGCGTTTTATTTGTTGTCTATCTCCATATTGCAGAAGCATCACACCAGAAGCTTCTTATGCAAGCGGAAGAAGCAGTGAAGACACAGCTAGATGATGCCCAAAGAAGAATCACAGCTGTGCAAAAGGCAAGTCTGCTTCTATTTTTGGAAATATGATCCTCAGCATTTTCTAGCATCTGGGTTCTGGGTATATTATTCGAGATAATTGTATCATTGCATGTTCTACGACCTTTGCTTGTGTGGATACGTCGCTGTTTTTTTTTTTCCTCCGTTGGTATGACACCTAACTGTATGTATCTGTAACGGTGTGAGTTTACATTCGTGGGGGGTCACAGTCTAGAAGCTTATGAATTAGTTTTCTTCTTGCAATATCAATATATTAGTGGTTGAACCTTTAATGTTCATAATTATACCTACAGATTTGTCAAGTAGTTGCCTATCGAAGGTTATGTCCCCATGCATCTAGGATTACGCCCATAAAATACTAATGTTAGTGTTTATAATTGAAAGAGACCTTGCGGAGCTAATGCGAACCTTCCCTGTCATTCATTCATTGCAGTTGGCAAGGGAAAAGACGCTCCAGTTGAAGTATGTTGTAGCCGAGTGCTTGAATGAGGGTGTTCTAAGTTGACGAGGTTTTTTAGCAGATGGTTTACAAGATGGGGACTTTGTACAGAGATCAGAATTAGGAAGAGGCCGAAGGTTTTAAGAGTTTCCTAGAGGTTGAGCTTGTAAGCTTTTTCTAGGTTATAAGATTGCACATCATTCTGTGGAATTGGTCTTTCATTTCATAACTGCGCTGGGAACCATGCTTTAATTGTTGTGACAGCCAAGTCCCTCCACGTATTTTTGTCATAAGTCCATGGTGTTGCCGTTTAGCTATATAGTAAACCATACTGAGATTATTCATTTAATAGTCAACCTCAGATTAGATAGCTCTTTTTTTTTTCTTTCCTAAGCTGCCTTTGGTCGAGTTAAACAGTCCATGATGGTAAAAGTATGTTCCTGAATTTTCGTTTCTGAAAATATAGAGCGTAGCGGTGCATGAGAATGATTGAGGGTAGTCCAATTTTACAGTCTAAGTCACTGCATGCACAGAACATTTTCACTAGAAATGAACTCGATGATGTTCCTATAAGTTGCTTCAGGAGGCACCTGTGAGTCTTTCTTGACAAGTTGCTTACTAATTATAAAGTGATAGTAGGTTCTAATCTTTCAGACCACTACTTCTCAATAGAAAGAGAAGGAAAAGGTTAAAATTTGTGAGAGCTTCAAGAGAGTATTTGATGTGGGGTATGTGGTGTGAAGAGCTCACGGATAAGTTTGATAGACAAAAGCTCAAGAAGACGTTGTGGAAGGGTAAGCATGCATTGTTGCTTTGAAGGGTTATAACTGTGCCTGATTGATGCAACATATAATCCGAAAAGCTAAGTATGTCGGAGGCCAACAAATAGCGGAGTGTTGAAGGCTATCCAGGTCATTTTTTAGGTTAAAATCCATTTCAAAGTTCTTTTTTTTCTCAATCTTTTTGTGATCTGGATTTCTTTATTATACGCGATGTCAGCATTTTGACATGCTTTGCTGGGATGAACCACAAGTTCGTAGATATTCCATGTACATCCATTATTAGCCAAGAAACTCCTAGTTTATAATATATGATAATGATATGACAAAGAGAGGTGACCTGGGTTAGCCTTTTGACATTTTGGAATCCAGCAAGGATATATTCCAATTTAAAAACGGATAGTTTCGAAAATTGGCTACTGAAAATGAGAGAATTCCTTGGCGTGCTCTATACACCATTCATTGCTTTGATGGTGGGACCTGCATCCTCTTTATCATTGTTTGTAATCTGTGTTTTCATTGGCAATCAATCCTCGTCTGATTGTTGAATTTTATAGGCTGTGATTTTGTTTCGTCACTCGGTCGGTGTCCGGGGAGGGAAAAGGCGCATACCAGAGAGGAAACATGGAGCCACGTGAACCACCACGCTTGCGCACGTGAAGTGCAAACCTTTTATTTTACTTTCAAAGAGAGTTAGGGATTTAGATTATTTTATAACTACCTTATCTAGGTTTAATATTTCTTCTCATTTTACTGTTGTGAGAGAGAAATAGAGAAAAACTTTTAGGGGTCAATGTATATGTTTAATAACAACTTATATTTCTTCATCATTCTAAAATATTAATTATATATGCTTCACAACTTATTGGATTAAGTTGGATTGATGATAAGTAAAATTTACATAAAAAATTTTAAATTTTTATCAAAATTTTAATCATACGATGAAATCATAGAGGTAAAACAATTAGTTAAATTATTGAGAATTATTTGTTAAAGTGAGAGATTGATAAAATTTTAATTATTGCAAAAGACAATACACAACTCTAATAATTTGACTATTATATATTTGAAGAATACGATACAAGATTAACTAGCTATTATATTGTTAAATGAGTATTTGTATATTAGGTGTTATGCATATATTATAAATCTTGTTGTGCGCAAGGACTTAAAAAAGATTAATGTATTTGTTGTTAAGATTTAAAATACAGTCAGGTTTGTGAGATCTTTACCATATAAATAACATATATTTAAATTGTGTGCAGAGAGTTAATTGAAGATATGATGTAAGAAATCAATGTGTTTTGATATTGTAACTTAATAGAATTCAACTTGTTTGATATTAGAAACCACTGAAAAATTTAAGAGGATCTTTATAAAGTTAGATGAAAATGATTATATGGATATGAGTTATTTTATAAAGGTTGATTAAAAGATATATATATATATATATATATATAAGGACACCTAATTTTGAGGATTAGAAAAATGCTAGATCTTTGGTGAAATTTTTAATAATTTTTTACATGGTTACATTGAAATTTTTTTACTTATTATATGTTACATCAATTTTTTCTCTATTGAATTTATTTACATGTATACAAATATATCATAAATATCTAGAAACAAAGATAATCTTTCATGTAGAATGAGAAAAAACATGATGTTAAAGTATGAGAAATATTGAAAAGAAAAAAAAATAGAAATTTTCAATTATATGTGGCTATTGTCTTATATCCACATCTCAAGTTGAAATATATAAATTTTTATTTTAATGAGTTATATGATGTTGAAAAAGCATAATTATTAACAAAAAATAATAAAAAATATTTTAGTGAGTTTGTATGATTGGTAGGACATCTACTAGACACCATCATGATATTGATACTAGTAATGACATTGAGATAAATGATATGTTAAATACTTTGACTCGATTTAAAAAAGAAAAATTAGAGGAAAAAGATAATATAGAGAGTAGAAATGGGATTGAAAGGTATTTGATTGATAATTATGAAAATTTCAATTATAATATGTTAAATATTTAAGTTGATAAAAATATAATGTTTCAAAATATAAGATTTTTTCTGAAGTCTTATAATATATATATTGGTTCTTTATCTAGAAAGTTATTTTTTAATTTTTTATTAAAAATTGCTTTTGAATTAGCCTTAAGTATTGATGGTCATATACTCAATCACTTTTAAAGAGTTCTTTATTTCTAGTAATAGTTGAAGTATTTATTTGTTATCAAAATTAGTTGTATTATAAATTAATTTCAATCAGCATTAGCATTAGAATCTTGATCTAAAACTACAAAAACCTCAAATAATTTATCTTATAATTAATTCAATTTCAATCTATTTATAATTTGTTAAAACGTCAACAATATTCGAATAATATTTTTATGTTTAAGAAAAATCTGACCCCAAGGGTCAATTATCTAGTTACAAGATCATAAGAAAAGAAATGGCAGGACATGAACCGACTGGATCAAAAACCAAATACATCCATCAACTCTTCAGACAACCAGGATTTATGACTGATCAAATTAGACATCATGATAGTTTACATTTTTCTAGTGTATATACATGTAAAATATGCAGAGAGTGAAATCGTTATATACATGACCCCAACAGCTTGATCAACTGACCGAAAACTTGACATCATATTTAGCCAGTACAGATGATCATAGTACCATTCCAGTAAGGAATTCCTTTAATTATGCTGCTTCAAGCATCGCCTGCTTTGAATTTTTAGTTCTCGTCGGGAATGGAGACTTCTGACTTACAGATTCCGTAGCTGAACCATCATGGAGCTTTAAATTCGACAAAGCATCAGTTAGCGAGTCAGTGGATCCCAAAGCACCCATTTCTCCTGATGTACTGCCAACCTCGACTTTCGATATTTTAAGGTTTTCACTTTCTAATTCCAACTCTAGCTTTTCTAACTCCTCTTCTATATCTTCATCTTCAATACCTGAGACTGGATTTGATTCTGCATTTGACAAAGAAAAAATTCTCACAAATCCAAGATACTAAATTTGCTGAAATGGTAATGAATTTCCAATTGGCATTGACCATAGTTTATGTCCAGGCACAGAGGGGAGGGGAGACAGAGAGGATACCTAGAGCCTTTTCAACTTGTTTTTGTGCATCAATACTCTCCTCAAGTTCTTCTAAACAGTGTTCAACCTCCTCTACCGTTATCTTATTTTGTTTCATTGCTTCAGCTCCAATTCTGATGGCCTCAGTTACCTGGCATAAGGAGACAAGTATTAAAGCGAAATGATTTTCCGCAGTGAAACCTTGCTAGGTGGCTCCTTCAATTTGCAAAAGCTGAACTCACCAGCTCATTAGATCATAGAACTTGATTTGTCATCAGAAACAATTTATAGACAAATGAGTTTTTTTTAATAAAAAGAAATGGGAGAATGTGTAGGTGAAATAACTAACTTGACATCAAGACATTTCGGACTTCAGAGTTGCAGCAGAAGCTAATTGCAAAAGTTTACCTTTTGTGTAGATTCAGCATTTGCGATGACATTCAGAACTTCCTCCACTCTGTTCAAAAGTGCAGTACACCTTTCTCTACTCTCCGAGGCCAACTTCATCTCTCTAGCATGCCTCAGGGCTACTTTCTTGTTTCCAGAATTTAAAGAAGCTAATGCTGATTTTCTTGACCTGCACAGAGAATAAACTGAATCTGTGAGACAGGAAAACTTGTTTCAACTGCCCTAAATTACCACATTAAAATGCTGCTTAAAAACTGACATAAGCCTCTATACAGTCAACAGACACATCCACTTTTCCTGTTAACAAAACTGGCCACATTTTTCAAGAACAGGCATAGGACTAGACATCACAAATTGTTCAATAAATGATATACCAGTGTGATAATCACTTGAAGGTATTGGTGAAGCAGAATTTTATGATAGTCCAAGTTCACATGCAGGACATCGTCATCAGTTTTTAGCTTTAATATAGGCCTTTGCCACATTAGTTAAGATCAGGGATAAATAATTATATCCAAGCTAGCTTCAATCCTAGGGCAAAAATGTACTAGTGTACAAGTAAAGGGAGAAGCAAATACATTTCATATCGTCTGTCAATCATGGCAATTTGGTCCTCAAGCTTTTGTGCTGTCCAAATCAAGCGCAGGACATCCAAATCTAGACTTGAGATGGCGGGAACTGATCCTGATGAAAGGGAAATTTTCACTCCCTGCAAATAAGTTATTTAATTACTCTCTTTATTAACTGAAATGCAATGAATAGCAATTCTTCTTCTAATATAATTAGGTAGAAACAAGCCTTGGGTTAAAGTTGTTTTATGCATTGAAAATTTAAAATGTAACTACGTTTATACTAACAAAAGTGATATTTTTATAATTTCATCTCTATAGAAAAGTAAAAAGAAAACCATATTTTAATACCTCTATAACCTCCTTAGAAATTGAGAAATATTGTGCTTTCCCGAGTCCGGATAGATAACTCAAGAGAGGAGCTGCCTCAGATGGACCACACATGCCCTGGAACTTGCTCATAGTAACAATGCACGAAGACGTCCAATGACTTTCAGATAAGCATTTGATAATCTGAGCAGTTTTATCCTAGATATCAAGAAAAAGAATTCTCAATAATTATTAAAACATCAGCACTATATAGAAATTCAAAAATTCCATACAAAACCCTCTCTTCTGGCACAGTTTAAGGTGCCAACGATCATAAGCTAACGAAAAGTTCTGACCCCATCATTTACAATTCCAAGAATAATGCTGAGAGGTGCCAATCAGCTTTTATTCCAAAACCCAGATGAGAGTTAAAAGAATAAATAGCTAGCTACCTTCAATAATGGTGTAAGAAAGAGATGATCTTCAAGCATAATTATTTCTGGAGTAACAGGTGATCTGACCATCAAATTTCTAACTTTTCTGAATAACTGAGAGATTCGACCACTACTTGGGTCTACAAGATCCACATTTCGCACAATATCACCTTCATTATACATTAAGCACTGCAATATTAAAATAAAATAAGAAGCGTAATTTAGGGTATAAAAAAAATAGCGAAGGAGTTAATTGACTAATTACCAGTACATGATCAATGCATAACGGCGTTAAACCTCCACGATTGAACCACTCCTCCTTTACCTTCACATTTTTTAAATAAAAAAAAATAGTATTAACTCTTGATTAATGAAAAAAAAAAGTTAATAAAGAAAGAACCTGAGAAGGTTGAATAATGAAGAGGTCGAGATGTCGAGCAATTTTGAGGATTAAATCTTTCCAGAACAAGTATTTGGGTTCCCAATCGGATCTTTGCCCACTAAATGCTTTGAATCGGGCTGTGGCCATTATTTCGTCGTCCCAATCGGGGACTTGTTTTCTTATGAATTCCTTCACCGACGACACGGAATCCATTTCTGTTCTATTCGGAGCTGCTGCTTGTTGAATTTCAATTCAATTCCCGCTTCGCTCACTGAAATCGAAAATTTGAAGGAGAAAATTGGAATTTTCAAAGGAACCGAAACTTCAAAATCCCGGGTCTGGTTTGATACTGTGGTCAGCGAGCGGTACTTGCAGGCAGGTTGGATGGGTACAAGAAGATTTTTAACTAAACCGACACCGTTTGAGGTAATTGCAGCTCCAATGCGGCAACTTCCTCCAGCCTAAAAAAAAAAAAAAAAAAAGAAGTTGTGGGAACTTCCAAGTGAGAAAATTTTGATAAAATCCTGTAACTTCGGGTCTTTTTTGATTGGGGTAAAACTAGATAATTGTCCGGGCTACATGGTGTCGATTAATTCTTTTAATGTAAAAAAATATCTAGATTTTATTAATATATTTTTTAATAAAAAAGTAAAATCATATAAAATTAACCTAATATTTTAAAAAGAAAAGTTGGATTTAAAGGAGAATTTTGCCTTAAAAAAGGAGCATTTTGCTTTATGTTGTGTTAGACAACATCTTATAATTTAATCATAAAAAATAATGTACAATACACAAATGATTTGAAAAATATTTTTTTCTTCTCTAAAACTTATCAATATAAATAAATTATTTTTCTTTTCATTAAATTTTTTTTAAAAAAAACATATTGTCACACCCAGACATTACAACAATCATTTAAAAATTTAACTCTTGATTGGAAAAGAATAGATATTTGACATTTTATTTTTTTAGGGAAAAAAATCTTATTTAAGAAGTCGCTACCTGATATTATGGTTATTAGAAACTCTAACTGGTCTATTGAAACCTATTTTTGGGTCTTCGCATAAAAAAAAACATTAAATAAAAAATATTATCAAAAAAATAATAGTAGTGAAAAGAGGATATCGAAGCGCCTAGAAAATGATCAAAAATTGGTTGAGGAGGTTCAAAAATACAAATATTGAAATTTGACAGTATATCATTAACCGGTGAGAGCTCTATTGATAAAGAAAATTTTATTTGAGGAAGAAATATACAAAATTAGATGTTTATAAATTCAATTAAATTTTATTGAAGGTTTAATTGAATTTATGGAGGGTTTGATCGGAAGAAAATTTGATTTTTAAGTCAATTTGGGTTTTAATTGAAAGAAATTAAAGTTCCAGGGTCAAATTATAATTTTTGAGAGTTGATTTGGTCAAATCAGGAGCTTAATTGCATGCTTATTGAAGTCTGGTAACCAATTAGGGACTTGATTGAAGAAATCCAAAACCAAATATCATAATGAAAAAGCGTGCAAATTGAAGGGCTGATATGAAATTGGACCTATTTTGGCACCAAGTTTCATTTAAATGAAATGATGTGTTATAGTCAAAACAACGTCGATCCATGCATTTCACTATAAAAACAAAAAAGAGAAGAAAACGGTGTTGTTTTGAACGACACCATAAGTCTTCTTTTTCCCCTGGACACGCAGAGAACAGGGGAAGAAGAAGCATTCCCCCCCTTTGTTTTTCTTTATCCTTTCTCTCTCCTAAAACCCAAAAAACCAACGACCCGACTTGTCCCTTCACTAACACCACCACGCCCTTACGCCGAAAGAGTCATGCCCTATAGAAGCAGGGGCGG